ATTGTATGATCATTTTATTTCATCAATTGATGAACAATTGGGGTTGCAACTTTTCTCGTCACTGCCTCTCCTTTCTCCAACTCCAGATCACCTTTAATATCACATTTGATGTGGACTCTAGTGCTTCTCTCGGAAGGAAATTACTTCTCAAAGCCAATGTGACCAGGTGCGCTGTGCCCAGCTTCCCACAAGTGTCCTTCTCTTTGAGGCCCCAGCCCACTGTCCAGGGTGGGTCTTTGCACTTTTTCCCACTGAGATTCCTTTCAGATCATCAAACATTGGTGGAGCACCCACCATGCTCCAGGTATCGTGCTTAGTGCCAGTGAGGCTGTCGTGAACAGGGCAGATGTAGTTCCTGTCCTCACAGGGCTTATAATTTAGTGGAAAGAAGAACAAATAAATTGGAAATTACAATTCAGTATGAAATGAATGATTAAATGGTTGATGTTCTTCGGATCTTGGTATTCAGAGAAGATTCCTGATGATTCAGGCTATGAGTTAGCCAAGCAAAGACATGAACTGATGGTGAACATGAGGCAGACAGAAGGATATATGTACCAGGAAGAGCCTGGGGGTTGGAAAGATCAGGATGTATTTAAGGAATGGAAGCTCAGTATGGTCTAAACACATAGTACAGGATTTAGGAAGTTGGTGGTGGTTAGATACGGGCTGGAGAGGTGTGCTAAGAAGGCTGGTGGGTGATGAAAGGGAATTTTGCAGTTTAACCTACGGGGGTGACATAATTGAATTTTTATGTTAGAAAACCACTCCCCATGAGGGCAAAGGATTGGAGTGGGAGTAATTCTGAATTGGGGATCAGGTTGGAGGAAGCTTCTGTAGATAGCTGTATCGGAGAGGATGGGCCTGAGCTAGAGAGGGTGAGGGAATTAGGGAACAGTGATGTTTAGAATGCAGGATGACAGGAACTGGTGATTATTGGAGGTGGGTGGTGAAGAACAGGGAGAAAGAGAAGTTGTCTCAGCTCTCAGGAGCTGACCAGAGCTCTTTCTTTCCCTTCAGTGAGAACAACATGCCCAGGACTGAAAAAACCAAATTCCAGCTAGAACTGCCTGTGAAATACGCTGTCTACATGGCGGTCACCAGGTGCTGCCTTAGCTCAGCCTTCACCACTGGGCTGAACAGGGCCATTGTGTATCTGTGTGTGTGTGTATGTATGAGGACATATATGCGTATGTATATGTATGCGGTGTACGTGTTTGTATGTTTGTGTGTGTGCATGAATGACCCAAACAGGTACATACTGTATCCAGAACACATTGCCCCTTCACACCATGTTGCCTACACCTATCAGGGCTGCATTACCCACATACCTGTTCACCCCATTACACTCATAGCCCAAGATGTCTTCCTGGGACAGCCCTTATGCTCTGTTGTCTCCTATTTCTACCCGTTCTATCTCCCATCAGCCGTGAATATTCTACCAAATATTTCAACTTCACAGCTTCAGGAAAG